AATTTCCCCAAAAAAAAATGTGGTTACCGGTTTAGTTCGTGGGTTAACGTTGCTTTGGTTCATCGAAGCGTTCTGCAGGTTGGCGGGACCATACCTTCCCAGGGCGGCAGCTGGCCTGCTGGTTCTGAGCCGTTTCTGCGGCCACGGTTCTTCTTGAAATTTCGGCCATGGTTATTCTTCGGGGCGCCACTAAAGGTTCAATGTTTCTTCTAACCTTCTTCGGAACACATACAATGACCTGACTAGGAAACAGAGAGCTTACTAAAGCTATGTTCACTAATTGTAGTAAGTAGACAGGATACAGACGAGGGTATACAAAAACCCATTATTTTTTCTTATATACAATGACTTCCGTACTTCGGAATACAAGACCCTCCACTCGGGGTCTAACGTAAAAAATAAAAAATAAAACATAACTCTAATTTAACTTTAGAATAACACACGTGGAAGATTGGCCTTATAATAACAGGAAGCGTATGTAGCACAGAGACTGTGAACACTACAATACGTTTAATTTATCAAGAAGATTAAAACCTCTGGCCTGGAAGGCAAATAGCAACTGCGTAACTTCTAAGGTAAGCGGCCTGCTTCGAACTCACTGCTTCCTCTCTCTTCTGCTTGGCAAAAAGGCCACACTTAAATACTTGGCGTTCGCCAGACAAACTTTGCATAAAATCCTTAACGCTTATAATTCTGGCCGGAAGTAGAAAATAAGAAGTGATAGTAAAGATTTAAAATAAAATAAACGTTAGTAAAACTTAAGATCCTTACAATTTAGCTTCGTGTAGAGTTCGAGGGGTTGTAACCCAGTTAATATACTTTAAGGTTCCAATAAGGCATTAAAGCAGCAGAGGTGACATGTTGTTTTGTATTATTTTAAGTCTCAGTAGATGCAAAGAATAAGTTTTACTTGAATTTTTACGTTTTTGTATTTTAAATTAAATTAGGTAGTTTGATAACCTTAGTCATTACATGGCAACTATTAAATTCTATTTTTTAACAATATTTGTTAAAAAGCCCTATTAAAATCGAAATGTAATAAAATTTCACAGTTTAAAATACATGTAATTTATGACATTGATTCTTAAATGCTATTAGGATAATTGCACACTAAAAGCTACAAAACATTTATGTTTTGTAACAACAACAATCAACAAAATAATTATCCGTCATTTTAATTGGAAGCCTTCCCAGACATTTTGGCTAGTTTGTATTGATTTCCTTCTCTTTAATCTTTTCTAACAATTACAGATATAATTAAGACACAATAATTACAGATATAATTAAGACACAATTTGTTGTTTGACTTCTGAATTAGTAATTACAGATATGTCTCAATATGAAAAAAAAAAAAAAAAAAAAAAAAAAAAAAAAAATGCTCTCGCTAGTTTCTGTGTGCTTTAACTCCTAACTTGTCAACCTCTCCACAATGTACCTATGAGGGCTTACTTGATCTGGTAAAAGTTATATAGTCCAAAACCCCCCGACAGATGTGAAGCATATTATTGCTATGTCTGAAAGTAACTACAATATCAGACAAAGGTTTAAATAAGCCTCTTATTAAAAAAAAAAAAAAAAGAAAAGAAAAGAAAGAACTTAGAACATAAAGACATGTTTTGATGCTAACAAAATCAATTACAGCTCACGGTGACATAATTAAACAAAAACAGTCAAATTCAAACTAATAATGTGGACTAGTGGTCAAAGATCATATAATTTAATTTTAATTTAATCTGGCTCAAATGAGGAAATAGAAACGGGAAACTATAGTAAAGGCTGAAATCATAAACAATTGGGTAATTTACATAATAATAACTGCACATATCTTTGAAGAATAATTTTCTTTATGTACTCAGTTTCTTTCTTCAATACGTTTCCTTTTCATTTTAGAATTTTTGAATTTAATTAAGGATTTCTGTTATTCTAAAAAAAAACACTAAATGCATTTAGAATGTTCAGAAAAAGTGGCTAATTTTATTTTAGTAATATGAACATTCAGAAGAAATATGGAATATATATGGTAAGGGCCGGTTACAGAGCTGATGTGGCAGAATTTTTAGAATTTAGTGACACACCGAACAACAAAATCTAGAAATGGCAAAACTTTTAGAATTTAGAGCAGGCATTGGAAGCAGAATTTAGAAAGGCACTAGGCAGCAGAATTTAGGATCCACAGAGATTGCATCAGGTGGAAAAATGCCTATTTCCAGCTATGTGTACGATGCATTAAGACATATTAGATGAATCTTTTAAATTGTAAGTTTTTTTTTTTTTTTTTTTTTTTTTTTTAATAAAAAAATCCTTTTCTATAATGCCTGCCCATGTGATAAGATTAGAAGCATTTTTGATATTTTCCATGCTTGTGTCTAGTGAAATATAGAGAAAATAAAGGGAAGATAAACATGTTAAGATTCTAGTATGAGAAGTAAAAACATTCATATATTATGTTTTTATTATTGTTCTTCCACATGTTCTCTAAAAAGAAGAAATTCATTGCAAACTTTCTGTAAAATACATCCATTACAGTAAATCATTCTGTAAAATACATCCATTACGTGTTGATACCATGGAGACATTTTTCATTTTGTCACATATTTCTCGAATCTTCTAGAATCATGGGTCTTGTCTTCAAATTCATAAATCTTGTCTTCAAATTCGTCTAAATTTTCCAAGCTGCAATGTCTAAAATCCTAAAGAAAAATTATCCCTACCAATTCTGTAACACCAAAAAGCCAGAAATATTTTGGAAAAAAAAAAGGGGGAGGGAGGGAAAAAGTGTACAAATTATTTTATAGAGAAAACATGCATATTCTGAGAATTTTGAATATTCTGAGACAATTTACATGGGAAAACTCTATACTATGAAAAAATTAAAAGAAGACATTTTAAATTAATTACATAGCTAATTTTGCTTTTGCTAAGAGCTGTTTCAGAAATTGTAGCTTTATAGCATTATACCTTGTTTATTTTTCAGATTCAAAATATTGCATATTAATAAGTTGTAAAAATGAAACTTTATAATATGACAACGAAAAATAAAAATGCTTTATTTAAATGTTATTTCTTAAATATAATTTCAATATATTACCCTTATTTTAATGAAATTAATCAATGTTATGATATTTTTAAAAAAAATCGTCGAAAAATTCTCAGATCTCGGAATTAAAAAGTTTCTACAGAAACTGATCTTAAAATCGCCAAAATGTTGAAAAGTCACCAAATTTAAAACCGTTTAATAAAAGAATTCACATCCCCAAAAGCAAAAAGTTATTTAAGAGCTCTTTATCAGAAAAAATGAATTTCAAAATGCTTATGTTTCACTTCTTGCTTAGAAACTTGAGTATCCCATCATTTATATTAGAAATAGAAACAAATTATAACTCATGAACCCATTCAAAAAATAGCCATATATACGTCAGTGAATCACCAAAAATATTCCTCCAAAATTCACACTCAAAATGACAGTCGTAAAAACAGATAAATTTCATTAATTAATTGAAAATTAAGGACCTTCTGCTGATTTTGGCCAAAATTAAGGACTTTTAAGGACCAAAATCAATTCCAAAATATCTAAGGGCTCTTAAGGACCATATGAACCCTGGGTTCTAGACTTAAAATCTTTGTAGCCAAGATTAATTTCACAATAGAAAGCATGGCTTTCATTGGACTCCCTCAGATGTTCAACATCCTTAAATAGGTCATCGTGAAAAAGTCTTTTCTTCCGATCGATCTTCTTCTCCTGTATTATAGATCTCTTATATTCCTCAACAGAGAGTCTTGAATGTCGCTTTTGGACCATATTTTTATAAGCAGCTCTTTTTACCTGTGTTACAAGGAAGCATTAATTATCAAACCAATCCCTTCGTTTGAGTTTTTCCATATATCCCAGTGTGTATTAATTGATCCAGTCTCCCTAAATTTTTTAATTAATCTCTTCACAGTTCATGAAGTTAAGCCACTATTCAGACCATATTTTGTATGAAAACTGTGAACTGGAACTGCCAAACCCTGACTATTTTTTAATGAAAATGTGTTGTTCTTTTGTGTAGCACTCCATTTTTAATACACCAGAACCATCACCTGTCACACTATCATTTTCTTTTCGTTGGCAATACTTTATCACACAAATGGCGCAAAATTCACATATTGCATGAATTTTGAGACACCCTTTACAACTGTATTTAATCCCTAGTAGAAACCAGACTGATGTGGCTATCTTCATAGCTATGGTTGCAGCTGTTTTACACCTTGTCATGGAACAGTATTTTAAGACACGGAATGTTGATGTGGATGAAGTCAAAAACATAGGTGGCAGTAGGAATCTATTAAGAGTGTGAGATTCAAGTATAATCCAATATCTACCATGTAACAATGCACTAGCTAGTCAAACACCTGTTAATGGATATAACATCAAGTGGACCCACCTAGACATGACACAGCAGTGTTACCAAGGTAAAATTAGCATCTGTCTATCTCGTCACTTCCCCGGCCCCCAATGTCATAGGTTGACATACACATGTTCATCTGCCCTCTTAAGTTTAGGAAAAGGCTCATTAAATCTTATGTTAGACACCTATATCCAGTGTTCTTTCTGTTGCACAAATTCTACTATATAACCATGCCTCTCGGAAGCCTCCCCCCTCCAAAAAAATTAAATATCTTAACACGTTGTCCCTTCATTATGTTCTTAATCTATAAAATTGAGTTGCATAGTTTTTAGAATTTTATACAAATTTAAATAATGCACAGTTACATACTCAATGAATAAAAATGGCCTCTTCAAAAATAAATTTTCATTTATAATTTTCCTATTTAGTTTTAATGTTGTTTTAATAATGAATGATTTTACAGAAAATTATAGATTATTACAACTTTCGTACGAAATTTTTAAAAAACATAATTTTTTATTGCGAATTTTAAACTAAAGTATAAAAAACAATAAAAAATAAAACTACTTTAGGGTTTACTCACATCCAAATAAAATTAAAATTTTTGCTCACCTTCTGATCATATAAAGAAACTAATTCAGCTTCTTCAGGAAAAGGTACAGAATCATCACTTTCCTGTGTGAGTAAAATACACAAAAATGAGCAATATTTTTTTTAAAAGAAAAGAAATTTTTGATTAGCTATACAGATATAAATAAACAAATATTGTTCAAAAACCCATACAAATTTTTAAAAATTTATAGAAATGAAATAAATGCATAGGTTGATCTTTACATTATGGTAACTTGGCGATTTTTTGGCGAAAATTTGGCAACCAACTCTCCTACAGCAACCCTCTATTTTTTTTCCCCCGCCGCCGCCATTTTGTCTTCACGAAAGTAAAGACATGTTTCTTTTCTTTTTATCTACTGAACACTTCTTCCAACAATTCTACTAGCCGAATTACACTTATGCTAGAAATTTTATCAACAAAAACTGCTTAATCATGACAAATATTCACTGCAAAATTGGGAAAAAGTGCACAAATCCATACTCCTTACGCGTTTTTTCAAAATAACACATACACATAAACCCCGTACACGCCGACTTATTTTTACTTAAAAAAACATCCCAGAATTGCACAAAAATGGCATTGCGCACACTCTTCACTATATCCATATACACTGCTTTTTTCTCATAAATTAGAAAAATTTCACGAAAATACATGACAATTTTCTCAATCTTTAAACCCGGTAAAAAGAACATATATGAAATTACCTGATCGCGAAAAAGTATTTACCCTTTCCAAATATGAACATTTCCACATTAAAATAAATAAAATCCAAAAAACTTTTACATCTAAATCATCTATTACATTATACACGTCACCAACGAATTCATACCGCAAGTATTACAAATACTTAGTATCAAATATTTAAATTATTTCCATGCACGTTTACTTCAACTTAAACGTATACCAAATTCCTACAAACGTAAAATTCACAAAATAACTATCATTTAATTAAAATATCACTAAACCATGTACACGTCGACTTATTTTTACTTAAAAAAATCCCAGAATTGCACAAAAATGGCCATTGCGCACACTCTTCACTATATCCATGTACACTGCTTTTTTCATAAATTAGAAAAAATTTCACGAAAATACATGACAATTTTCTCAATCTTTAAACCCGGTAAAAAGAACATATATGAAATTACCTGATCACGAAAAAAGTATTTACCCTTTCCAAATATGAACATTTCCACATATAAAATAAATAAAATATCCAAAAACTTTTACCTCTAAATCATCTATTATATTATAAATGTCACCAACGAATTCATACGCAACCATTAAAAATACTTAGTGTCAGAATATTTAAATTATTTCCCTGCACGTTTACTTCAACTAAAACGTTATAACAAATTCCTACAAACATAAAATTCACAAAATAACTATCATTTCATTAAAATATAATTAAATTCAAAAACACTATTTAAAATATACAATGAGCACATACATAAATTAATAAAAATTACCTTACAATCCTAATTACTTTAAACTAAATCATTGCTAATAACAATTTTCCAATAATACCAAATTCCTTTCCACCTTACATTTAGAACCAATGCATAAAAATAATATCCTCAAATAATTAAAAATACTAACTTACCTAATCTTCTTCAGAATCTTGATTACGTGTCCGATAAACTTTTCTTCTTTCTGTTTCAGGATCTTTAAAATCATACTTATATTTCACTTCTATCTCGCACAACCTTAAACAAACATTTATTACTACCCTTTTCAATACCACTAAATACCCATTTCGAATTCACTTTAGTTATGGCCATGGGATCCAAAAATTAACCAACACTGTTTCACACAACACAGAATAAAGCCAAATACAAAATTTCCAGATTTTTTCCCGATTTCCCCCCTTTTCCGATTAAAGAACCGTAATTCGTCCATTAATATCACATGACATATCCCATGATCTCTCATTTCCCTCACACAAAATAATGCGTAATTGGAACTGAGTACTGCTCACATTATTACCAAAGTCCCAGGTAGCAACCTTTATCGCCTCCAAAATGTCGCCAAACTACCAGTTACCATATTGTAAAGATCAACCAATGCATATAATAGATTATGATTTGCACAAAACTTAACTGCTGATAGTTTCTCCAAGGAAGTATTTATAGTTAATTAACTATATACTCCCTTGGAGTTAGTATATATAGTTGATTAACTTTTCACCAATAAAAGCACTTTATAAAAATAATCATAGTTAGTATAGTGCTGAAAACAATACTGAATTCCTTTTCTGTTTTTTAAAATATTATGTTTATGATAAGTAATGAGTTTTTTGGAAGGATAAATGGTTTTCAATGTTGTTATATGATCAGTAGGATCAAAGTGGCACAGCACCAAAATTCTGCTTTCCAAGGTAGCCACTTCCACAGAAGATCAGTCATCTGAAAACTATGAATGGTCATTTTAGATTCTTCCCCTTTATATAACAGTTTTCAAAATAAATCAGTGACAAAATTAAGTTACCCCCAAAATAAATACTGGAAATGATAAATTTCAATTCGATAAACAAAGACTTCTCTCTAAAAGCCATGTTTTCTCTCAAGAAATATCACTATACTCACATCAGAGAGCTGCAAGACTCCTTCTTGTGCTGAAGATTTATCTACAGCATTGTCCCTATTACTATCATATGAAGAATATTCCTTCATTGTGCAGTTATTCATGGATGTGCTTTCTTCAATTGTTTGTTTTTCCTGGGAAAAAAAGAAGAAAGAAAATTTGTGGGTTCAAAGTAAAAGAACAGGAGCACACACATTTAACATTTAATAAATAGATATCTTGTAATTCTACTCTTTTGCTTTCCAGAAACCTTGAGAAAACAGAAATTATTAGAACATTCTCATGCCCAATTAAAAAGCTGTAAAAAGCCAGAGAGACACATCTCGGTTCAATTATTAGTTGTTGTTTACTTAGTTGCAGTAAATTTTGTTGAATGTATTAGCTTTCTCTGTGATTTGGATTGTGTTTTAGTTAATGGTTTTATAGCTACTGATTATATTGCATGACATTGTGATATTATATAAATTGTGATATTAATGAATATCTCTGAGGACAAATTTTAGCACTTTGTTTTTTATTTTTTGTGATAAGAATAAATGGCTCTACTCTTATATGTGCCCTAAGATCACCAAATGTGATGATATATGTGTTCTGTGCTGTCTTTTGGTGCGATTGTGTGTTGTATGGCATCCCTTTTGACGTTGAATACTCTTTTGCTAGAGTGTTTTAATTGCTCGTTGGTTCATGTCATGTGTGTTTTGAAATGGCCTATGTTGCAATAAGAGACGTGGTTACAAGAGGGTCTGGGAGATTATTTTTAGTGGCTGTGCATGATAGAAGTAAGGAAACACTGATGCAGTGCTGATGAGTGAATTGGGCCTTGTACAACTAGTTTTTTCGGATGGCTGGAAATTTTACAAGGATTTAGGAAAAGAAGGTTTTGAACATTTATTTGTGAACCATAGTATGAATTTTCTGGATAGTGTGTCTGGCTGTTATATAAACACGATAGTGATTATGTGGCAGCATGTTAAGGCGGCTGAAATTGGTCTCTGCTGTTCGAAAAAGCATCATTCATGGGTACATTTTATTTTATTGTGTTCTTATTTTGTAAAAGTTATGTTCGTTTTTTTTAGTATGAATTTCTGTCGTTAATTTTTTCTTGAATTGTTTGAAATTTATGTTTGTTATTATAGTTTTTGTTTGATTAGTGATTAGTTAGTGCACAAATTGCGCAATTCTAGATGTTTTTTAGATGTTCTGAAGTTGAAACAGAAAGCTGTGTACATAGTATTCTTTGAAATATGTTGTAGTTATGTTAATTTATTAAAGCGAGGTGTGCATAGTTCATAGATTCTTTCGCTGTCTAGATGGTGCAATTCGTAGATGTTTTTTAAAGTTGAAGCAGAATGCTGTGTACATGATATTCTTTGAAATTTATTGTTGTTATGTTAATTTATTAAAACGAGGTGTGCGTAGTTTGTAGAATGTTTCGCTGCCTAGATTGTGCAATTCGTAGATGTTTATTCAAGTTAAAACATATCACTGTGTACATGGATTCTTGTTAAATATTTCTGGTTAGAAACTTTATGTTTTTGATATGTAAATTTTGTGTTTTTGTTTCGGACTTTTAGCTGAAATTGTGTGTTCACGACGAGGTTCCGCATTTTGAACACACAATTTTTTAGGCTTAAAGTTCAAAACGTAAACAAAAAATTTAGATAGTAATATGGCACCACGGAGTTTCTCACCAAAAATATTTGGCGAGAAATTTGTTGCCAAACGAGGGCATATATAAGAGTAGTTCCAATACTTGAAGTCATAAATAAGCTGTAGGGATTAGTTTAATTTTCTAATAGTCATTCTTAATTTTGAAACCCTTCCCTTCCCTGCCAGAATGAGATTTCAGTATTGTGTTTTATACAAATGAAGTAGAACTAGTATTTATTGTAGAGTCCAGTCACTTATGTAGAAGAGCTTAGAAATTCTTAGTAGTATTCTGCCTTCGGGCCACATCGTTACTTCAAGTCGATCTTATTATGCATAGCTGTAGTCTTATGCACCGGTTAGTATTCACTGGTGAGGTTTAATTACGGGCCAAATCGGTTTGTTATCTTTGTACAGCTAATTAGCTAAGTTTAGCAAGTTAGAATTACTTATTTTCTGTTTTACTTTAAGGTTGGAGGCTTTGTTATCCTGACAAGGGGCAACTGTCATCATTTCTTTAAGTGAATAAAAGGGTATTTTAACCTTTGTTTGGACTTCTATTTCATATAGTTGTAAGGAGATCAGCGAATAGTCGTTAGATACTCCCATAAAAGTTCTAGTAGCCAAGGATATATAACTTAACTAGAACTTTATACAGCACACTCAAAAATGAGAAAACTAAAATAATTAGTTAAAAAAATTAAATTAAAATCTGCAAACTGAAGTGACAAAATGCATTTAAAAAAATATAAACCAAATTAAACCCACACAGTATCAAAAGATATCCTTCTAGTCCCCTCCCCCAACTGCAACTCACAAAAAAGAAGACAGTAGTCTGAAATTGCCATCTGTATCCATTACAACTGGATACATAATAACTACTGAAAAAATTAAAATATGTAATTAGACATCATTGTCTATAAGGAGAAAATTTATTTGACAGAGAGTAAAAATAAATAAAGCTATTATGATCAATATTCTAGAAACCACTGGTTAAGCAAATTTTGATATAGTATTAACATTTCCCATGGAAATCATGGAATAAGCAATGAAAGATTTAATTTAATGGAAATGTCATACACAGTTAATATACATACAGTCATGAAACTAAGTTAGGTAACATATATCCTCATAAATACTAATTTGTAACTGTAAGAGTAAATATGAAGAATAATTAGATTTATGATGATGTGATATAAATTACATACACTAAAAGAGTGTGTAAAAAACAAGTTAAAATAAATTCCAATGCTGTTATTTTCAATATACTAATATTAAAAAAGGAATGCATTTTAAGAATATGTAAAACTTTGTTGTAAGCAATCCTTACTTTGAGATTACCGCTACAATTCTCCTGCGCAGTTGAAGAAACAGGATTTTCAGAAAGTTTTTTCGCTTTTTCATTTTTTAATCTTTTCTTTTTAAATTCAGCAAGCTATAAAAATAATAAATCATAATCTTAGTATTAAAACAAAAATGTTAAGCAAAAATCATAACAGATCTGTATGTGATAAATTTTAAATTTATAAGAATCATCAATAATAACAAAAAATCAATATAATCAGAACACTCATTTAGCACATACTATAAAATAAAATATTTTAAATAACATCATTATCACAACCTTAGTAGTAGATATAGAAATGCTTTTAAATAGATTTATTGGTACTATTCTGTTTTGAGAACCGCAAAAAACTGCAGCGAAAATGTATGCGCAAAAGCGCCAAATCTAGCAAACGCGTCCATTTAACAGCGCGCCAAATCTAGTGTACGTGCTGATTTAAGATTGCATAAGTTTATATAGTTCTATATTTCTTAAGACGCCATTGAAATACTAGTTTAATTTTTAAATCCTTTTTTTGATTTTAAATCCCGTTTTTGATATTTACAACATGGATTTATATTACATGGATTACAACATGGATATTACATTACACGGATTTAACAATTGCCCGTGACGAAAAGTCTGGAAATAGAATTTTGGGTAAAGTTGCAGAATCACTCCACTTGCTTGATGCGTATTTAAGAATTGCACATACTCGGTATCCATGTACACATTGAACCGATTTTCACTTAAAAAAGAATCCTAGAAGTGCACAAAAAAATGGCGCTGCGCACACCCTTGACATTATCTATGTACACATCGACCTATTTTCACTTAAAATGTAAACGAAAATTGACAAAAATCCAATTTTTTTTACCCTTGTAAAAAGCGGCGAACAAATAAAAGGGCGATTTTGCACTTTACCACGAATATTTTCATAGAAAAGGTATCATTCATTATAGAAAATTATGTTTGAACAACCAACGAGATGAAATTATGCTTTAGCGAATACTTGGTAGCGAAATAGCGATGCAGGCATCCATTCAGTTATGTTTAAAATTTTTATATAAATTATAAAAATGGTCTGGAATAGTTATTTACTCTTATGCTTCCATTCAGTCACATTTAGCCTTTTTTATATAAATTATAATAATAAAAAGGTATTATATGAAATTAAAATTTCATCTAAATTAAAACATCAATTTTAAATATTTATTTACTATTATACTTCTTTTCTTGCGTTAGGGTTGCCGCGTTTGTTTTTGGCAGCACTGGCATCAACAACAGTTTGGCGATTTTTTACGGCCCTCAAAACCGAATAGTACCGATTTATTTAATAATTGTTACTGTATTTTCTTTTTAATTTTTTCGCCTGTGCTGCTAACCAAATAAGGTGAATAATATTTTAATACATTGTAAGTGTCATTTTAAAAAAGTCACTCCATATAAGAGATACTCAATCTCTTCATTAGAAATACTTCACCCCAATCAAACATTTTTAAAAAGTTATGAATTTTATAATATACTAATTATAATTAAGACACAATAACACGCCGAATAAATACTAATTCAAAAGTCAAACAACAAAAATCAGCGTTATAAAATTTTGTAAATATAACGCTGATTTTTATTGTTTGACTTTTGAATTAATACTAATTATAATTTATTAATAATATTTTAATTAATTTAGCATTTTACTTCTTTATTTCTTAGTAGTACTGATTAGAAGAAAGCAAAAAATTTAGCAGCAATATTAAAATAAAAAATATTTTATTTTAAAAAAATCTAGCAATATAGTATAAAATCCCATAGTTAAAAAGCAATAAGTGGCTCTTGAGAAAATGATGAGATTAAAAATTAGCAGATTTATTCAAACATTTAAAAGGTAACAGTAAGTTTCCTTTAAACGTCATTGCATTGGAAAATTTTATTGTCTTTCTTATTAAATACACTTTTATGAACTTTTAAAAGGAAAATAATAATTAAAAATGATACAGTAATACTGTGGGTAATTTGTTCCAGGATATATTAGACCAACAATAACTCATTTTATATAGTGGTAAGATATTATCATTATAACCGATTAACTTAGTGAAGTAAGTTAATCGGTTATAGTGATAATATCAGTATTAATAAGTAATAATAACACATCCTGTATACTATTTCATATAGTGTATTATTAATAAAGTTACGCAAAATTTAATCTGTATTATAGTATAGTCTTTGTCTTGCTCAGGTGTATTAAGCAAAGATGTCTAGAAATTCACACTGATCCTTAAAGGTACATCAGAAATTAAAATACACAGTTAATGAATAATAATTAATTATCACCATACAGTATAATGAAGTATTTCAAAGACTGATAGGGAAAAAAAAACTTTTTCTGATAAGGCAATCAAAACACTTTTTAAGGTTGAGATTAATGCACATAATATACAATAAGAAAATTTCACTTTCGGAAAATGACATTAACATATTATGGAATTCAGCAACAAGTTAAGTAAAGAAAGCAAAATATATATGAAGATGAGAGAAAATTAGATAATGATATACACATTGAGTTGATAACATGCTTGTATTACAATGACGAAATAAGATATTCAGAATCATCACGGCTGTGGAGTCGGAGTCATGGAGTCAGGCAGATTTTAGGATAAAAGGAGTCGGAGCTGGAATTGCTAAAAACAGGTCGACTCCAACTCCAGTTTTTGTTGGACAGCTTGAATTTGACATAAAATTAAAATGAATTGAAAAAAAAAAAAAAAAAAAAAAAAAAAAATAATAATGACAAGCTGAGTTATTATTTTTATTTATGGACTATATACATTAATAAATAATTATTTTCTATTTTATTGACATATTAATAAATAAATATAAGGGAGAAGGATGGATGTGATATTTGCCATTAGTGATTAAACTGATTCATTTAGTTACTGATCTTACTGGTAAATTTAGGTAAGCAGCAAGAACTCAAAAAATTGATGCCATTCTTAGAAAGCGAGCAGGAATTATTGATCAAGCAATGCGATAAGGAAGTTGATGATTAAAAGGTTGTTAGAATTGGGAACTTTTTTAGAAGATATAAATAACCCTAATGTTTCACTAACAGAAAGACTGTGGAATGATCTTGCAGAATTTGTAACTTTTCTTTCTACACCGTACATAGCCATACAAAAGCTGCAATCTGTAGAATTGACAGGAGGCAAGAATGTAAGAATGTGATGTTTGTTCTTTCTGAAATGGAGGGTTTATTGCAGAAGGAATTATTTCTTTAATGAAGAAAAAAGAAACTAGTTTGCTACACAATGAGATCTTGACGAGTTCAATATGTATGTATGTCATAATAAAAGCACAAGGAAAAGACGGAACACTGTAGATGCGTGATTAGACCCATATTGAAGAATAATTTTGATTGCGTAGTATTTAAAGAACTTGGCAATCGAGGCAGTTTTAATTCCATTTTTATTTGCAACTGATATTTGTGGCCACAATCACTTGGCACTCTAGTCGTGCCTTTCCACAGAAGATTTACATTTTTGATATTGTTGAGATAGAAAGCAAGCCAGCGAAATTACATCTTAGCAGAGTAGAGGGCAAAAGCTGAAGTGCGTAGTTATGCAAGATGGAAGCACGTGAAGAGAAAAGTTTTGGTTTACAAGGACAGTTTCAGTTCCCAATGATTACGTCATCAGAGCTGCGCCGATCATAGAGTGATCTAGAAATGACGCAATGCAAAGAAGTTATTACGATTTTAGAATAGAGAGGAGGAATTAATGTTTTATAGTTTAATCTATAATTTTGATTCATATATTTTTATCTTACATATATATATATATATATATATGAGGGAGTCTGAGTCAGAGTCTTTAAAATTCCACGAGTCGGAAGTCAGTCATTTTCCGACTCCACAGCCCTGAGATTCATGTTTAAAAACTGACGAAAAATCAAAGATAAGGCTATTTTCACTTTTATTAAATCTAATAAGATGTCATGCAGACATGACAAATTTGAGGCTTTGCTTATTCTTTAGATCAGATTAAAGAATGCTAACTATGCAACAGTGCCAGTCTGCACTAGATGGCAGAATTTATGGGTGGAAAATATTTTAGAAAATACAATACACTATATGAAACAAATATAAATCTTCATTGCAATGATTAAAATGTTTTGAAACATGGAAGTAAAGCTAAATCTCCATTAACAGACTGTTCCTATTAATGAGAAATTTCTGAATTTCTAGATTTTAGTATGAGATCAATATATTCTCTGATAACTAAAGTGAGAGCCCACTAACTGGTGATTTGATTGCATTTAGGTAACACGATTGACAGCAAGTGCTATGCATTCAAAGAATTGAATTAAATATGCAGTCTTTATAGCATAATTTTGATTCCTTTATTTAGACATTCACATTATTATAACTATTTGCACTCTGTTAAATGCTGTTACACAGACATGCAAAATCAGCCCCAGTTATGACCAGAACAACTTAGCATCTGATTGTTGATCCTATATTAGAGAACAGCATAATACATCATTAAAAACAAAAAAAGTTGCATTAATTCATTTGGAATAACTCTCTAAAGTAAATAGTTAGGTCCGAGCGCTAACAATTGCGCATCCAGAAGTTTATCTTATTTTTTAAGTAATCGAAATATAATTCATGTGGAAATTTTTTAAATCCCTGAAATATCATATGACAAGCTATGTGTTCCCTGCCTTTTTCTGCATTAACTTAACAAGATTACGATGGATATCTATTTATTGTAACTATGGATACCATATTTATTGTAACTATGGGTACCATATTTATTGTAATTATGGATTGATATGGAACTATTTATTGTAAAAGATTTACAATTTAAGTAGCATGTTAAGTCGCTGACGATGGAAATTTTTTATTTATTTACCAAATACTGAATTCAGGAATAATGCATCGCACAATTTTTTTTATATGTAATGCACTGTATACCCAAATGTAAACAATTCAAAAAAACTTATACATACAATATGCCACAATAACGAATTTTCTTTATTATGATACATAAAATATTTTACTTTTAGTTTTCCTGCTTCAATTTTTTTCTGTCTTTCATTATCCATAATCACAACATTTACTACTGGAATTCATTAGCGTAAATTACACGATTAACGGATAATAAGCATCTCTATCACACATTCACACGAAAACAGACACACACATACTGAATAATATTGATGCCAATACAAAGTTCAAAACAGCTTCGAGTTTCAAGCTTACTTCCGCCAAGGCATGAAACTTTAATATAACTTTAAACTGTCAACATTCAGCTGGTTTGTTTTTGTTTTTTTCATTTTCAATAACAGACCTCTTACAGAAAAACAAACTTGGTGCCTTTTTGACTAAATAATACAATAATGAATTCAGCATTTAAGAAATTGCAAAAAGTTCTACAGCAAGGATGAGCCAACTTTTTCAAGACATCAGCTACTTTTAATGTTCTCAAAGTGAAAGTATTGGAGTCCATCAGATATTTATTACAATCTAATAATAGATGTCGAATAAGTGCTTACGTACGTGAGCAAAATAGAAAAATCTTACTTGTAGTTCCTTTTCTTAAAGGAGTCCGGTAAGGTTTGGTTTTGTTTGGTTTATTAGTTATCGCAAAGCACTGGAGGGCTATCTACCTAAGGGGAGAGATGCCTTCGTTCTTTTAAAGGAAACTGTCCTTTTAAAGGAAACTGATTCGTATACACTTTACACATGAGGAAAAGTACGATAAAGGCCCGTGCATCCACCCCTTTCGCCGGGATTCGAACCCCGGACCGAACTACCAGTGTTCAGCGACTTTACCACTCGGCCGTAGTAGGCCTTGGGTTCTGGTAAAAAACTGCTTCTAAAACGAAAAGTAAAAAAGTAATAATAGTAGCCACACAAAAAATAATTGCAAATGATGTTCCTAAAATAAAAAAAAATAAAAAAAAAACCACATCCAAATACATTAAAAGAACATATTTCTTCTCGCAGGGCGAAAAACCAAGCTTATATGCGAAGAAAACCTGTATGGAAAACGTCTAATTTAGCCTGAGAGAAAAAATAATTTTGTGTCATTTGATAAGAAAATTTTTAAAGGCCAGAGAAAAATATAAAAATGTATAATGAGCTTACATTTTTTAAATAGAAGCCCTGATAAAATATTTTTAATATATTTTAAATATATTTTTAATATATTTTAAAAAGTTATGGGCTTGAGTAAGAAAAAGAAGATGAAGCAGAACTGCTGTCTAATCCGTTTTGTATTCTAAAATGCAATGAAAAATGCACGCAAAATTTAAGTCCAGGTGGTCTATGACCTAAAAATGTAGGCCCTGTTGTGCTGTTGTAAATGGACGAAAAAACAAAATAAAATAAGGGAAAGAAATTAATTTCTTTTCTCAATTAACAGAAAAAATAACTTCTATTCGCTGTTTCAAACCAAGTTTGGGAAACAAATTTAAATGAAAACAAAGGACAATTGAGACTAGGCAGCCACTTCCCTACTTGCTAACAGCGTCTCCAGAAACAAGTGAATCATGTTCATCTGAAATTATAACTAGTAGAAGACGTATCTGCGTATTATCCACTAATTTTGAATATTATGGTATATAATTCTTAAATGATAGTCATGCACTGGATTCTAAGTAATCTTCTATGAGACTGGAAGGATATTTTTACCTAAGGGAAGAAGAAGCTGACAAAGCTGCCAAATTGTCAATATCGAGCGAGGAAGCAGTTTCCGTTAATATTCCTTGGCTGCATGGGCGGTTTCGTGGCTTTCCCCATGTGTAACAGATATACAAGCCAGTTTTCCTTTGAAAGGTCCCCTACGAAGGCATCCCATCTATATATGCAGATAACCCTCGAGGCTTTGCCGTAATTACATAAACCATGTAAGGATCTTAAGTTTTACTAACGTTTATTTTATTTTAAATCTTTACTATCACTTCTTATTTTCTACTTCCGGCCAGAATTATAAGCGTTAAGGTTTTTATGCAAAGTTTGTCTGGCGAACGCCAAGTATTTAAGTTGTGGCTTTTTGCCAAGCGAGAGAGAGGAAGCAGTGAGTCGAAGCAGGCCGCTTACCTTAGAAGTTTTACTCAGTTGCTGGTTGCCTTCCAGGCCAGAGGTTTTAATCCTCTTGATAAATTTTAAACGTATTGTAGTGTTCACAGTTCTCTGTACTACATACGGCTTCCTGTTAATATAAGGCCAATCTTCCACGTTTATTATTAAAGTTAAATTAGAGTTTAGTTTATTTTTATATTCTTTACGTTTAGACCACAAGTAGCGGGTCGGTGTATTCCGAAGTACGGAAGTTATTGTAAATAGAGAAAAATAAAGGGTTTTGTATACCCTTCTTGTGTATCCTGTCTACTTCCCACAGTTATTGAACATAGCTTTAGTAAGCTCTCTGTTCCGAGTCAGGTCCTTGCATGTTCCCGAAGAAAGGTAAGAAGGAACATTGAACCTGATAGTGGCGCCCAACGAAGAAGAATAACCATGGCCGAGTTTCAAGAAGAACCTGTGCTGCCTGGAGAAGCGGCTCAGAATCCAGAAATGCCAGCTGCCGCCCTGGAAGGATTTGGTTACATCGTCCAGACCATGCGCGCTTCGATGAAAACCAGAAGCAACATTTAATGGAAACTCACCGGTAACCAGTTTTTTGGAAAAATTGGATGACCACTTCATGCTCTACCCCGTGCACGAGTTTCAAAAAGTTACCTTAGCTACCAGCGCTTTGAGGGGCCAAGCGCTTAACTGGTTCAAATGTATAGGCAGAAGTCTCTTGGGTCAAGCAGGAAGTCCCACCTATACTTACGAAAATTTCAAGACTGCCCTACTAAAAGCCTTCCCTGTTGTAAGGGATCGTGCGAAATTAGAAACGGAACTTTTCAGTATATATCAGCAAAGAATCGAAAATCTCTCAAGCTTTATTTTAAGAAAAATTCACGTCTTCAAACTCTTGTATGGAAACCGTCCGGATCCTGAGATAATTCAAGTGATTTTGCCGAGGTTACTGCCCCAAGTGCAAGACTTTATTGAATTAAGAAATCCGACTACACTGGAAAAGTTATTTGAGCTAGCAATCCAGTTTGAAAGTAGAAGAACGGCGGACATTGAAAGAAGACGCCAATATCAACAGCGAAACCAATTTGGTGCGCCAAGACTACAGCAAACTCAAGCACACGGCTACGGAAGAAAAAGCGAATCAGTGGGCAAGGAAACCCGAGCATTCAAAAACAGCCGGCGAACGTCGACAGTTCAATAGCAATCCAGGAAAAAAGTCTCAAGGCCAGTGGAAAAAAGAAGGAAAGCACGGAAATGAAAAATAATTTAAACTAAAACGGATTTCTGCTGACGGGAGGGTGCGGAAATCCGAAGGCCACGAAAACCCCTCTTCCTTCAAGTTAAATACAGTAATGGTGAAAAATTTGACTCTTCCGAAGATTGAAGTGTTGGTGAATAATATCCCAGCCACCGCACTCCTGGATACAGGCGCGCAGTGTTCCTGTGTGGCAGAAGATTTTTTTAGGAAGTATTTTCGGAAATACCGCATATATAATTCGGATAATACGACAGTGTTAGCGGCGCAAGGAGAAAAATGTAAGTGTATAGGTAAAGTTACCGCTGTATATCCGTATCAAGGACGAACAAGTAAAGGTGATGTTTTTTATAGTAAAGAATCTGCAAGCACATATAATTTTAGGAATAGATTTTCTTTCAGAGGCACAAGCAACGCTGGATTTTAATGAAGCGTCCCTTAAGCTGACAATGAAACCAGTTCGTGCAGAGAAAAGGCTGAACCGCCGATGTTAAATCTTGACCACCTGCCTAATGACGAGCAAGGACGAAGAATCCGACAAGTGGTAAGTGAATTTGCTTCGTTATTTAGTGATATTCCAGGATTTACTCAGGTTACTAACCATAGTATTGACACCGGAGATTCAATGCCAGTTCGCCACAAAACCATACCGGTATGATAAGAATAAGGAAAAAATTATAGAATGGCATATCACCGATATGCTACGAAAAAGATCATAACGCCCATCTCAAGTAGTTATGCTAGCCCGGTGGTTTTATGTAAGAAAATAAATGACTATCCTTTGACACATCCAAAAAGGTGGAGATTCGCAATTGACTACCGTAAATTAAACTCCATAACTAAATATCCGGTATATCCGTTACCTATTATTGAAGAAATTCTAAGGAACATAACATCCACCAAATATATGACGACTTTAGACTTAACGACTGGTTATTTTCAAATAGGGGTTAGGCCTGAGGACGTGCCTAAGACTGCTTTTATAACCAAGTCTGGCACTTATGCATTTTTGCGTATGCCGTTTGGCCTTTCAGGGGCACCGGCAACATTTCAGCGATGTATGGACATTGTGTTAAGACCTGTTCTTGGAAAGTCCACATTTATCTATTTAGACGATATCATTATTACTAGTGATAATCTCGACCAACATGTACAGGATTTAAGACAGGTGTTTTCTTTATTAAATGAGGCCGGTCTAAAAGTTAATGTCGAAAAGTGCAAATTTGCAGCCCCTGAATTAAAATATTTAGGTTACAAAATATCTCAGAAAGGAATCGAGACAGACGAATCAAAAATAATCGCTGTACAAAAGTATCCGACTCCAAACACGGCGAAGAAGCTCTCTTCTTTTCTAGGACTTTGTTCATATTATAGGTCCTTTATAAAAGATTTTGCAGCTATTGCTGAACCATTGTTAAAATTAAAAAGGAAAAAGGCAAGATTCTCGTGGACGGCCGAAGCCAATAGTGCTTTCGAAAAATTAAAACAAGCATTAACGCAAGCCCCTGTGTTGAAATTTCCTGAAAAGGATGAGAATTTAGAAATTTCAGCGGATGCTTCGGATTATGCGGTAGGAGCGGTACTTTCGCAAAATCAGCAGCCCGTGGCATTTTTTAGCCGAACTTTAAATCAAACACAAAGAAACTATTCCGCGACCGAGAGAGAGGCACTTGCAGTTCTGTTAGCAGTGCAAAAGTTCCGAGTCTATTTTGGAAAGGCGCCAATAACAGTGTACTCTGATCATGCGGCGGTAACTAGATTGTACTCAGGGAAAAAATTTATCCCCAAGGTTAATAAGATGGGCACTCAAGCTACAAAGAATATAATCTGGTAATCAAGCATACCCCCGGAAAGG